ACCCTCCCCAATAAAAGCAAGCGCCGACACCTCCGCCCTAATCGACATCGGCGGCTCCTTCTGGAAAGAGCACGGCCTGGACGAGCCGCGCTCCAGCAAAGCAATCAAAGTCAGCAAGCCGCCCAAGTCGCCGCAGAAACCTTCCCGAAAGCCCTCTCAGCAGCCCCCACCCCTCAAAGAACACCGCAGAAAGCTGGCGACGACGAAGATAACTGGGATGTCTGGGACACGCCGACCGACAAGCCCTCCGCCGCATCGAACCGCAACAATAGCAGCAGTAGCAATGAGTCGTCCGACGGCCGCGCATCCCCGTCTTCGGGACACAGCAGCAGCGGCTCGACGGACATCTCGACGCCTGGGCCGGCGTTTGCGGGACAGGGCAGCATCCGGCTGTGGCCGCGACGAATAGGGACTCGATTCCGTGGCCGGCGCTGGTGAAGCTGAGCCCGAGTAACTTGAAGCGTACGGCGAGTCATTTAATGAGTCAGTGGGAGAGTAGTCTTACGCCGCCGCCGAGTGAGGCGAGGGAAGCTGGCGGTCAGGATTATTTGACTGGGTCTCCGTCCGCCGGTAAGGTGAACAGATAAGCCTAGCAGAGCCTAGCGGAGCGGAGTGTGGATGTGATGTGGAATTGAAGATCTACGATGATGTCCACGAAGATTTAGGCCACTTGCTGTGTCAGCTATGAGGGACTTGGGCGCGGTCTAGGCTTGTACTGGTGTTGTCTTCATTACCATTTATGTTCATATATGCGGAGTTTTGTGGGCTTACAAGGACTGAAAAATTCGGACGTCTGGTTAGGGCGTCTTCCTGCAGCCATTTACCACCAATACAGAAGCTGGCTGGAGTCGTTGAGCCTGCTACGAGGGGATCGACAAGTCCACCTGTATATAAAAGCACAAGCTGTAATCTTATGATTGTCTTAGTCTCAAAAGCTTCCTGACGGCCGTCGAACGTCTTTATGGACCATATGCTCGCCTTTTTTAGGCAATATCATGGCTTCGAAGCTAAATTTGACCGAAGGCAGTATTCCAAGCAGTCAGCGTAGCATGATCACTACAAGCATCCGATGTAGATCTACAAGCACTCCCTCCGGCCTTTCGATTCTCAAACTCCTCGTCCCAGTCTTACGAAGGAATGTTATCCGCGACCGCATCTTTTCCTTGCTCTGCGCCATTATGCTGGCGCCCCTCCTGGCTGTCGCGTGTCGCTTTTCTCAACCAGTCCCACTCCGCTGAAGTCTGCCACGCTCTCAAATCCTTTGCAGTTCTCACCGTCGCCATCGCATCTGTCGGCGCTGTCCCGCATTTTCTTCGTCTTTCTTGATCTGCGCCAGCACTCTGAAGGCCCTTATGCGCTTTGCAGTTGTGACTGTCGATGCTACAGCTCGCCGCCTTCGTCGCTGCCGCTCTTTGATGGTGATGAATTGATGCGTCGTTCTGCGCAAGTGGTGAAATTGCCGTTTTCGGACGTGAAAGTTTGCGCTTCGAGTCCACATGTCATCGTAGGGTTCCAATATGGCTAAGAGACCTCGAAAATCTTGAATTCCGGTAAGGACGGGGGTTGCGGTTAAGATATGGCGCGCCGTATTCCCTAGCAGCCATCCGATCGTAAGTCACGGTTGGGCATCCGCGTGTGCGGATCTCGTGCCCTTCATCCATGATGACACGGGCACAGTAGTTGTGCAAGTCTCGAGTCCATCTCCCGTCTCGCGCGGTTGCGTCTCCTTTCTCCACTTGCGTCTCCTTTCTCCACTTGCGTCCTTGCTTCTGGCTCGCGCACACCTTGGTTCATCAGGCGCTGTATATTCCGTTTCTTCAGGGCAGAGGGTCCATCCCATGCGGTAAGAGTCTGGTAGGGTGTGAGGATGATCAGCTCCGAGGAAACCAGGGAACGAGCACAACGAGAGCATTACGGTCATCCAAAGACATCGGCATGAAAGCCTGAAGACAAAACAAGATGAGCTTCCAGATGCATGTACTAAGAATCAAGCGTGGATAGGCTTCAACGACGTAAGAGCTTGAGGCCTGAGGCGAAGCGTTTCATCCCACGATGCACCACTAACCCTGCGCTGTAGTTCATCTGAAGGAGCATCGCGCAGGTTTGCCTTTACACAATAGAAGAGCGGAACACCTCCTTGTTGCCGCCACGGCAATCCTCTTCCTCCTCACTTCCCACGCTGCTCTTCCATTGTACCCGGTCCCTTGTAGAAAGCTTGATCAGTTGCTAGATGACAACACAGCTGTGACCTTTCCTTACGGCTTTTTGTCGTCTTCAACAATTTTGTCTACACAGTGGTCTATGATCTGTTCGAAGATCGTGACCCCGCCAATACTATAGACAGTTCTGGAGCAGCCGTCCCGCTAGATATTGAGGAAGCTCCACCACAGTTACCGCTTCCACTACATGATGGTATCCTCCATGGAACCTAGCCTCGTGGCAGCGACGGCCGTTCCCGCGGGGCTGTGACTAGACCTATTCCACTTCTTCTTCAACATCAATGGCCTTAAAAAGCGTAGCCTGACTTTCGGTAGTCTCAACCGTGCACCCTCTCGTTCTTCAGCCAGCCGTCATCACCCAAACCTGTACCCGCTTCGAGTTCAACCAATCAGCCCCGGCAAGCGAGCCCATTCGCAACGCCCACGGCAGTCAGGTCAAAATCATGTAGGACAATCCTCCTGATGACCTGGAGATAGAGGATGTACATGATACGCTTGATGGCGTTACGACCATGATACTAGAAGACTGTCTCGCGAAGGTTGAGGAAGACTTTGGCTTAGAGGAACAGCATCTCCGTATTGATGTTCTCTGTAAGAAGAACGGTAATCTTGCAGTGGATATCTATAAAGAGCTCAGCGCGAATGCAATAGCTCAAAACGGGCAATGCTACTTGCCCCGACGACAGAATCCACCGAAGACGCAGTGCAGCTACAACTACCTATCCTGAAACGAAGACCAAATCGGCGGACTATCTACATACAAAACCATGCTTCTTGAGCGTACCAGTACGACGTTCAAACTCGAAGAACGCTTCTGGAAGTGGGCGTGGTTGAGGAAAGTAGCCCAGCATGGGAGAGCGGATGGCGACTTCGGCGTCGCTCTGAAAGATATTGAGTTCAAGCACCTCCACGTATCGGTGTTTTCTGTTGCAGGAATGGTGGTTTGGTAGTTCGGGTAGCCGGTGAGCTCTGAGGCCATACCAACAGTTCCAGAAGGCCACACATAAACCGTGCGCGACGAGACTCAGGAAACCAACACCATCACCACCCAGACGCGGACGGCAGTCGACTGGCTTGAGGCTCCTCATAAGACCCTAGCGAGCGCTACACCTCTGTACCTTGGTATCGCCGATTTCAAGGGGCTCATAGGAATGCTCGAGAACAAGAGCTTCTTGAATGGGGTGTCAACGAGGACGTCGATCCATGGCTGCTATCTGACAACCACCCAGCCGCTTTGCTACAATTCTCCGCACGTTCCTTCAAGGCTCATATCTTGAATGACCAGGTCCTGCTCGCGGACAAGGGCTTGCGGCTACGGTGGATTTGGAAGCACTCCTAATCAAGCGCTCGACAGGTTCGAGAATTCCCTTGAAGATCGGGAGAAAGGTTGGAGACGAGTTCAAGCCTGTGCAGACAACAAACATCGAGATGCAGTTTTCCGCAGACCGCTGCGGCAGATGAGAGGGCTAAATACCACGAAGTACATGAACAAGGCCTCGACCCCATGTACACAGTCAACAGGAAAAAGAACGAAGCCGAATGGAGCCCTAATGCGTATAAACGGCTCTGCTTGATAAACTTGTGGATCCAGTTCAACTTCTTGAATCCTGCTCAATTACAAGGTCAAAAAGCCGAAAGGCGGGCGAAAGTGCTCGCTCCGTTCTTGAAATCGTTGCTGTTAACAAACAACGTAGAAGTCTCCCAGCTTCAAAGTCGACGGAGCCCCCTCGCGGCGATATTGAAGAAGGGAGGGAGGACGACAGGATTGACGCGCTGTCGGAACACGATGCCGCAAACATTAAAAGAGTTCAGCCGAGACGGTGGGTCAATGCGAGTGTTTCTCAGCGCCGTACGCGTCTAAAGCGAGGAGCTTTCAACCGTCGGGGAATGATGCGGTTACCACGCGTTTCATGGCTCTCGGAGACGCTGCGAGCGCTAGGCTTGCCGGTTATTTCTCAGCGGCTCCAAATTTGGGCAGCTCAGGTATCACTCCAGCGGTGTACTCATCACGTATCATGAATTACGGGTTCAAGTCGTAGTCAAGCGCCTTGCCATTGGCTGTCCTGAGGTTGGTCGAAATTGATGAACAAAGAGTAAAGATAACTTGATAGTTCTGAGAAGCAGCTTTCGCTCTTACAGACTTCTGCCCCACCGCACCGCTGAAGATGTTACTGGATTACTGTAGTGTCTGGAAAAGGTGTACTCCGATAGTCAAGATTCTCGTTCTCTGACTTTCTCTTGTGCTGTCACATATCGTGTTCCGTAGGCTACTCGTCTTGGACGCTATCTCGATGCGGCAAACAGTAGCTTGCTGTGCAGTGTAGCGCGTGTTACCTCAGCCTTAGAAGACTACCGGTACAGCAACCAGGTGAAAGCGAACCAAACAGATAGTCACAGCTTGAGGATCACTTTGTGTTCTCATGAGTCCACAACTAAGTTTTTATATAGTCTTATCATTAAGTTTCAATCATGTAGTAAGTAAAAATTGCTATGGAAACCTAACATTAAAGAAACGTACGTGAATGCTTGCCAGTGAGCTCGATGAAAGAAAGCTTTATTCTAGTGTTAGTCACGAACTGTTGCGCCTGGAAGAAGTTACGCGACTGCCTATTAAAATGAGCAGAGAGCTCCACCGATGTAGGCATCGATATGAGGGTAGGCTGAGCGTTTTTAGGAAGATATATAATGTTAATCAACACTTGATTTTCATCGAACATCAGTTCGGCCATGTGGCGTATGTTTCACCATCCGACCTTCTTCATCAAGCTTCGCTAACATTAAGACAGCCAATGGCAAGGCGCTTGACTACGACTTGAACCCGCACTCTGAAATCAAGAGATTCCAGGTTCGACCCCTGGCATGGTCATCTTTTTGGACTTTTTCATTCTTTGTGACCATATCCTTTTGTTCTTTTGCTGTTTGGAATGGTGGGAAGCTGTGTGCGAGTGAGTTTTAGCTTTTTTCCCACAGTTTTTGCTCTTTTTCTGATTGGGCCGAGGCATGGGGCACGGACGTTTCGTCTTCTTGGCACCTGGATGTCAACCTGAGCCTCTTATGCTCCACCGGTGCAGATAGAGCAGGGAACAAGGGAAGATCGCGTTGTGAACAACAATGGCGAACTCGGGTTGTTGTAGTTTGTACAAGTCCTACCAAGCCTGTACATACGCTCATGGTATACCAACTATGATGAGGTTGCTGATGCTTAATCTAAACACCCCGGGCATTAAATCAAATTACTTACTAATGGCGAGGGCGTTCGTTCTTAACTCTTCGCCATGTGATCGCGCCTAGATACTTTCCAACAATTCAGCTTCAAGATTTCCTTTGGTCATCCGCATAGGAGCTAAATGACATGTAGGAAACAACGATCCGTAACCCCAAACGATATATTTGGGAGAAGCCGTGGATGTGAGACGGAATTTTACTCTTGATTAGCGTCGCCTTTCCCGACACTCAGGTTATCAAAGTCCGTGTCTTACAGTACTTCTATGCGGCTCCCTGCTTCACTCAGAGCGAGGATCCCCAAACGCCGTAAAATGCAGCCAGAGCATCATTGTAAGCCCTTCCCGTCCAATGTCAGCCAGAATCTCTACAACGCCAGCGTTCGATGATCCTTGGAGCATGCCGCCGCGAATGCAAAGTTCCCAAATCCCAACCCAGAAAACACGCTCGACCTCACCACTGCCTTCCGCTTCAACCCTTGACGTCCCCTCTCCCCCGTCTCCTGAATTCACCCCCTATATAACCGGCTTCCTCGTCTCGTCCGGGGGCAGCCTCATATAGTAATCAATCGCCGCACTGAATGCCGCAAAGCCCGCACAGCCTACAGCCGCGGCCTGCGGTCCAGCCTTAGCCGCCAACGCGCCTCCCGTGAGGCATCCAGCAGCAACGCCGTTATACAGATCGTTCTTGGCTCTGAAACCTTCGATGCAGCACTCAGTGCCGGAGAAGATTGCGCCGACGAGGCCGAAGTTGCGCCCGGAGGAGAGGGAGGAGCGGTACATGTCGCGGAAGCCCTGGCGGAGCTGTTGGCGGACTGGGAGGGAGGAGATGGCGGCGCCTTGCGGGGTCATGGGGGTGTCGTAGCGCATCTGGTAATCATTAGGAGAGAGTCGAGGTCTCGGCGGGGGAGGAGAATGCTTGCGCTTGACATGAAGAGCCCGAACATTGCGCCTAGGCCCATGCCCATGACGCCGGCGATGACGGTTTTGACGGGGCAGGATTCCATGCCGGTTTGCATCTGTGGATGATCATGTCCATTGTCAGTCTCGTTTCCTGCAAGAGGAGCGCAGCAAGCTAGGAGCATAACCACCACGGGCGCCACATAGAGGAGGTCGTACGGCTTTCACCATCTTCATCTCCTGGTCGCTCATTCTGCCGGTGTTTTGCTGCCCGCCGGCCATGCCAGGCGGCAGCATGCCTGGTAAACTCATTGTTGAGACGTGTTCGTGCTAGATGTTATTGGGTTTATTCAAGTAGATGCGGTGGACTGGAAGTTTTGCGGAGTTCTCGGAGGTGCCAAGACATGAAGTTCGTCGCACGGACCATGCGGACTTCCAGCGGCGTCGCGGCTTTTAAGCAGAGCATTCTGATCCCCTCTCACGAATTGCTTCAATCAGTAATATTACAGCTGACGAGCAGTGATATCGTTCGAAGAGCCTCGTCATACGCTCAACTTCTTGCCAACAAGCGGCACACCCTGATGTATGTTTATCCTACCACTTGCAGTACCTTTAGATGCCCATGAGCTTTACTCATAGGAATTTCCTGACGAGCTTCTCGGGTTGCAAAGATCGACGTATCTGATCGAGGATTACAAACGAGAGGCGTACACCAGCCTGGTAATAAAAGCAATCACAAGGTACCAAACCGCGCAGTTAACGGATCAAATCCACTCGAGTGATGCTGAAACAAGACGTCGATGTCGAAGTTATTCCACGACGTCTCAGATGAACAGCTTGACGATTCGGGGAAGAAAAATGAAAGCAGCTGTTAGAATGTTCGAGGAAGATTACAGGAAGAGGTGGCAGTGGGAGATCATCATGCTGGGGGACACCATTTGCTTCAACACATTAGCCATAATCATCGCCCTCGTCTATTGTTTCTTCGTGGTATGAAACAGTACAAGTCCAGCTCCCCGGGTACACAGTTCACTTCCGTAAGTAGTTATCGTCAAGGCGATTCATCCGCAGGGCGACCCATCCGCAGGATGAGCTGTTCAGCATTCGAAGCGGTGAAGTAGTGACGTAGTTGTAACTTCAACCCAGCTGCTCTAACAACAATGTCTGTCGCACTTGACGAGCCTGGTAGCTGTATGGATCAAGTGGGTTTGACGACCCTGCGTCCGCATGAGGTGGGCAGTTGCAATGAAATGGGACAACTTCTTACATGTAGATACGATCGAGCTGGATTTGCGAACTACGCGATGGAGACAGTACCTTGAACTCTTACAACAAAGATGACAAGTCGTTCAGCAACACAGCCCTTTCAGGTATGCATCGATTACCTGAGCTAATCTCCGACTTACCACCCACTTTCGAATCATCCAGCGTCGACTCAGGCGCCAACAGGTCATACGAAATCAATGCCGGCAGTGCCGGCATCTTGTAGCCTCGTGGTGGCAATGCCAGCTGGACCGCGACTTCAAGTCTTTTGTACTGACATCCCGGTGCATCTGGAGCAAAATGTGTACGTTTCTGATGCACGGCCTCTCTTTTGTCGACATGCTGCAACTCCCTATCGCAGACATAGTCTAAAAGATAACGCATCGCCGTTGAACAAGAGGCACCTCTGGATCCTAATGACGCTGGAGGCTTTGAATCAACGAGACACAGCAGCTCCCAGGACAAGGAAACGGGAACAGGTAAGATCCAGCGCTAACATGAAGAATGCTTCGTGCTTTTCATGAAGACATGTACGAAAATCAATGACATGACGAAGAAGCGGATCTTTGCAGAACAGGTGCTGTGCGAGGCGCTCACGACATGAAACGGAGACGCTGTGCGAGTCTGCATGTCTCGCTCGACGTGCACGAGGATCCTGCATGTCCCCACACTCGCAAATCTTGGACAGATCGGTGCGCCGACAAGGGCAGCACAAGATCTTTAAAGCGTCTCAACGACATTGTGGGTTGCTCGTACCTCCTTGAAGCTCTTCATAGCAGACTGTGCCTCGCTCTCACGGAGTCGGTTGCCGGCGCATTCCTTTGATCTCTACGGGGATACGGAGTACATAGGTAACTATTCAATCATGACTAAGTTACTACCCTGCTTCATCAAGTCCGGCCCTAGCACTGCCTGCGGGCCAGACGGATCTGATGGACGTCAGGCACCGGCACCAGCAGCACCGCTACTATCAAAGATAGTTTGGGTTGATTGGCATCACACCATTTCGGGTCTTTGGGGTGTTCCCACCAAGTGCGGAAGGAAGAAGCTAGTTTGGATATCGCTTCAGTAACTGGTTTTGAAGCTCTGGGTGAGCACGCTCTTGTGCCCGGTCCCGAGTGTGCGGCCTACACGCGCTGGCTGTACCTTGCCAGCAACCGGGATCCCGCGGCCAGAATTTGTTGGGTTCGTAGTTCTTGCAAAGTGCTTGCATGAGGCGTTCTGCGGGCAGCCATGAACCACACTTCCTCGACCAGCCACCAGTGCCACCCAGCTTTGCGAGTTCCTGCCAGACGGTCAGCAGTCCGCGGAGCTGAGCTCAGACGAAGATGCCCGAGGCATGGCTCTATGACGCTCATCTGTGTTGGACGCAGACAAGGACCTTGGACCATATTTACCCGTACTGAGTAGTATGGAACGCGAACCTCGAGTCAACCAAGATGGCAGCAGCCAAGGGAGACGGCGCGCTCAGGATACTGTGGATGGACTTTCACGGACAAGGCGAAGCTGGGTATCTTAGTCAGAGAATCAATCACCCTGCTTGTGCTGAGGTGAGGTGAGGACGGGAGAATCCATGGCCATCCTGGAAGGCGCAGCGCCAGGGTCAACGGCCGATCTTCGGCCCGCCGAAACGGTGGGTGCCAAGCTTTCTTTCCGGACGCCCCTTTCGGCAACTCATGCGCTAGTGAGAGTTTCCGCGACTTCCTTCGGCCCCGCTGCCCGTCACACCTGGCAACAGTCTTTCTGGACCATCTCCGTTCCTCGACAGCAGCCAAACCAAAGACCATAACCGCCAGCCCCTTCACGCACCATTTCTCCTTTCTGCACCTGATCATCATCGCCCCTCCGCATGATCTCATCATGCTGATGCCTATCACAAGGGGAAGCCCGGGAAGGCTCGTGCAGCATGTTGCATGCAGCAGGGAGCTCGCATCTTGCAGCTGGAGCTCTCGTAGACGGGAGTTTCCAGAGCTTCAGCTTGCGCGCAAAGCGGTGTGCTGCGGAGCCTCAAGGTAAGCAAGTGAGCAGCCACATTGAAGTGCTTGTGGTAGGCTTCCAAGTCTGTTGTTACCGATCTCTCTTCTAATTGACGTCTCTGCTACACCATCCCATCGCACGCTGTCACAACGTGCACTCCTGGCTTGAACTAGGATCGTCAGACCCTTCGCTTCTCCACGCATTCTCCGGTTTATGGCGTACTGAACTCGCCACGATCGCGACTGTCTGCTTCGTTCGGGAGCTTGGCCCGGAGACGTGGGGCCCTGGCTAACGTCTCGAACTTGCATTCGCTCAGCCCGTGTCTAAATGCAGACGCCATCCCAGCAGAGTGCTGCGGCAAAGGAAGCTTATCTTAAGCCTCCCTAGCCATTGTCGTACACTTGGCATGCTGATCCATTTCATGGTGTCAAGTCCTCGACATGGCGCGGCTGTCCTCACGGATCCCTCAGCCCAAGGCCGAAGATGGCTTCTGTCAGAAAGCCTA